CCCCAAAACCCCAAAACCCCAAAACCCCAAAACCCCATAGCTCTCTAGACCTATTGAAAATATATAAAATAGGCGAAATTATCATAAATCAAATGTTGAAAATGAGAGACAGACCCACACAAGCAGATTTTCAGGTAAGAAACAGGTATTTAAACGACACCGTTAATTAAGTTGAGAATGGTATCCCGGCAGAACTTCTCAATACCATCTCCAGTTCACCTTCTCTTATGTGAAGCACCGTTTTCCTGAGAATTACTTGAGATCTTGGATAAAAACACTCTTGGATTCTTCTTTTTAGGAGCCCTCTTGCGTGCTGTTTTAGGTCTTTTAGCCTCTTCATTATGAGTGGGTGGCTGCAAACCTTCCCCACAAGCAGGCTGACCTGTAGAAGTCTTGTCCCGAGGATTTTGAGAAATCTTCTTTAAACTTCTTTTATTTTCTTTATAGTCAGACTTCGCTTCTCTTTTCTTCTTTTGAAGAGGAATCTCAGTTCTAATCGTTTCTCTCTCTTTTAGAGAGAAATTTTGTTGGCCAGATAAAACATTTGAGTCTACCATATTCTGACCTTCATGTATAGACTGCTCTGCAAGAGAAGAAGGCTCGATCAAGGCCTTGCTAAGGTGATGCTGCATCAGATTTTCAGCTAGCTGATTCTCCCCAGCACTGCAGAGGTCCTCACGGACCTCCTTTCTGCTGGTAGCAGCTTCCATGAGATCTCTGACTAGGTCATGGCTGATCCTTTCTTGAGTGGCCGTTGGGTCTCCCAACAGAAGTTCTTTCATGAGCTGAGAGGGACTCTGAAGTTCAGGCCTCTGGTTCAATATCTCCCTAACATAGAGTTCTCCCATAACTTTATAAAATTCATCAATCGAAGTGGGAAGACTAAGGACATAGTCCGAAAGAAGGCCTTCAAAAGACATGCTAGGCTCTGCTGCTCCTGAACTCAAGCCAAGGCTGGGTCCAGGAAAATCATTCGAGCTACTACGTGTTTTGCTTCTCAGGATATTCATAATGGAAGGGTTTATCCCTTCAAACTGTTCTGAAATTAGAGATGATAATGGCGGGCTTTGAGCTATTGAAGTCTTCCTCTGAGTCTTCAGAGAACTTATCCTCGAATTTTCAGGAACAGAGAACTTCTTCCCAGAGTCAGCTTGAAGTAAATTATGACCAGGAAACGAATTAGAAGCCCTTAATTCAAGAGGATGCACCCCAGATTCTATTCTTTGAGAGGCTCTTCTGAGCATCATAAGCCCTTTCCCATAATTACTGGGGGTTCTGGAAGTTCTCTCCGGAGAACAACTACTGTGGTAAGAACTAATATCCGAGTCATTTAAATTATTTTCATCAAAGAAATAAGTTTGGAGAAAGTATGTTACTCTCTCCATAGCCTTCCTTGTTTCTGATATCAGTTTCCTGACACTCTGAGTGCTCTTAATATACTGACGTTTATCCAGAAACAAAGTTAGGACCTTGCCCATCTTAGATTGATCGATGGGGTTATAGCTGAGGTCACAGCTAGAGACATATCTGACATTCGCTTTGAGGTCACTAATTTCTTTCAGTGTCATGGAGTACTTCTCTGAGAAGCTTAGCTTACTTCACAGATCCAAAAAGTCCTTGCTAATCCTCTTAAACTCCTTAATCTTAGCCTTAGGACCTGCCTTAGCCTTCATGAAAGGATGGCTAGGCATTGAAAAGCCGAAAGTATGAGATTTTTCCTCCTCATGTGAAGGATATACAGTCTTCTTAGTAGCAGAATTAGTCTCATATGCATTGCTACTTTGCTTCTCCCGTTTCTTTCCTGAGAGATCATTCTTGCTAATCAGAGCTCTTTGAGAGACCTTCTTTGTGGGTTTGGGCTTCCAAGGTTCTAATTGCCTATTCTTCTAGAGAGCATGTTTAACGAAGATTCCTGACAAAAATCCAAGCTAGTTGGTGATTTAATGAACAAATGACAGAAAAGAACCGGGATGGAGCTTACCCTACTGCCCAGACGCTTAGACCTGCGAATATTTAAACCTGAAGGAGCCTTCTCTGATGTTTTGGATGAGTTAGAGAAGAATGGAGCATGCTTTTCTTCCTTCTCAGCATTCATAAAGTTCCTCTGATGAGGTCTGTCAAGAGAGCACTTTTTACAAGTACCAAGGTCATGGTCTATGAAGATGTCTCAGATATAATCTCAAGTTGATCCCAAACCTTTCTTGACATCATGGCCGCTTTGGAGATCATTCACAAGAGAGTTCTTGGTCCTGGAGTCATGTTCTGGTTCAGACAATGGATATCTATTTTCAGCGAAAGTTGCCTGGTGTCTTTTCAGCAGAATTCATGAAGAGTCTCCTAAATCAGACTTAGACACACCTTGAAATGTTCAAAGCAACGAGCAGTTAAGATAAACTAATATACATATGGGTGGAGTTTAAGAAATTTAGGAGGCTTCAAACAATTTGACAAAGATTCAAAAATCCAGCTCCATTTTCAATCAAGCAGTGGTATGAATAAATTACGAAAAAGTAGAAGGCTGGGTTTACCTTGCAACGACTCCGCTACTTTCCTTTTTTGTTCCCCAGATTTCATTGCATCTAAGTCTGCATGCAATCCTTTCCCTAGCTATATCAGAGATTAGCATATTTCATGAGGCTCAAAAAGAAAATGGCTGGTGAGATCACTTAAAAGTACTCATTGAAAGCTTACCTTGTCTTCATCACATTCAGAGGAAGGATTTACATCGTTCTTGTCACGACACACCATTTCATCACCATTGAGATTTGTAGCAGATATTTCCCCGTTCTTTTTAGCCTCTAAAGAATCTCAGATTTCCAGATCTCCTTTCGCGTGAACTACCAATGTATCTTTCTTACTACAAGAAGAGAGGGAAACATTCTTCACGAAATTTCCACTGGTTCATGGCTTCTTGAGTGAAATAGACTTAGTAGTAGCAGCAATCTCAGAACTGAATCAGTATTTAGCAGAGATCTCCTTATTTTCTTCCATTTTTCCCATTTTCAAATCACTAAATGGGAGAGTAGATGCTAGGCCCTTCGATTTTTGTTTGCTCCTGCTAGAAGATTTATTTCCTGCTCTTTTTGCTTTGACTCCTTGATCTTAAGCTGACATGGCTATCCAAAATCTCATTCTGGGCATATAAACAGTCAGACTGTACGTCAGCCTTTCGTAAGTACTCTTCAGCTTCGGTGATAGCTTTGAGTAAATCCTAAAGCGAGAAACAAGTTAAATCTAGCAGTTGGAAGCCCTACATACTTTTCTCTTGGTCTTTTTGTATTTCATACCATTTGTGAAATCAACCAGACTATCATTGCTCATATCTCTGTACGTATTGTCTTCAAAGAAAATGACTCGAACTTTGTCGCTGTTTCCATCTATCGTTTCAACCTAAAGCAGGAAATAAGTCATGGACGATAGAGCAAGTTATCATCAAATAAAGCAGTGATTTGGGAGGAAGATACTTCACCTACCTTAGCTGGCCACCATGGATACCATTTTAGTTTTGCCCAGACGACTTGTCCATCTTGCCACATCTTTATTTTAATTAAATCATATGAAGTGAATACTCCTTAATATAATATCGAGAAAGGATTGCCAATACCAATGAGCTTTAGTGGGGTTTTGGGGTTTTGGGGTTTTGGGGTTTTGGGG